CGTGGCAATGGACCTAGGTATTTGCAAGACCGCCTCCTACCAAACACCTCCCTTCGACCAGTCCGCTCCCACAGAGAGGGCCTCCTTAGGGTGCCGTCGGCCAGACAATGCCGGCTGGCGACCCCCAGGGGGAGAGCCTTCTCTGTGGCAGCTCCTGCCCTCTGGAATGACCTACCCCCCGACCTACGTACAGTTGCGGGCCTGCGCCTTTTTCGCCGAGCCCTGAAGGCTCATCTATTCCGTGCAGCCGGCCTGGCGTAGTTTGATTATGTTTTAGTGGGGGTTTTGTATGGGGTATTTTAGAGCTGGCCCTCTTGGGCCAGCAGCTCTCCTGGCTTCTTCCTCTCCTATTCTCTGCCTGTAGCCGGCATGTCAGGGCTACTGATCTCTTGATGGGGTCCAGGTAGGCATTGCTGTGAGAACTGACTTAATGTCAACTGTCTTATTTGGCACATTCAATGAAAGAAACTCCCAACTCTTTAAAACTATCAAGAGTAAAGCTTTATTGAAAGAATCATCTAGGCACAGCAAAAGCAAAATCAGTTCTGGGATTTTCCCACAAAAACTCCCATAGGTAAAACCCTTTTTTCCCCTCCAGGCCACCCACAGTTTATCAATTGAGTTTAGTTCTTTTGTTGTGGGAAACAGTTCTGTGCTGCTGAACATATTTCATAACTCGACCTTGGTGGATAACATCTATGCATTTTATAGCCTCCCCCCTCCCTAGGAATTCACCATCACCCTCCCATTTCTATTTGGCAAAAAGTGAGCTGGAATGATGGACCCGAGTTAGTTTGGACATTCTGCTACTCCAAATCAAGCTGGCCGTTCTGAGTTTCTTCTTGGAACATGGTAAAAAGGCATCTTCCTCCTTCTGTCTGTCTCTCTGTTACATTTATATTTCCCTGCTTCCCTTCACAGAGAAGAGATCCAAGACTTCTTGAATTGTATCGATGTGAGTCTTGAGGAGCTTCAGGCAATGCTCTCTGGGAAAAAAATCAACTATGCTTCAGAAACACTTACTGATGTGAGTCCACATTTCTGTGTCGATTTCTTAGCTAGGCTGCTGCCTCTCTCTCATTACCTAGAGAAGAAAAACTGTTTTCTTATGGTGTGGCACCCTAGAGTTGGGGGAGTCCTCCTCTCACTGTGGAGTTGGAGCTAAGAAACATTTTGCCAATGTTCCGGTGTGGTTCCCCAGTGCTACTTTCCCAGTTCTGGCCCTGCCTTGCTCCAGAAAGTGTGTCTGCCCAGTTGCTGCTGCTCTTCTTTCTACCATTCTCTGTCTTCTCTTTCTTTCCTTCCCTCCCCTATGATCAGGGGAAATTCTCCAAGCACCCCGACAGCAAATTGGTGTGTAGGCAAGAAACCAATTTGCTGTCAGGGGTGCTTGGAGAATTTCTGACAGCTGGGGCCGACCTAGGGATGGCCAGTTCTGTACCTGCTAAGTCATTGGGACAAAGCATGTGGCTTCCCTACCCCCTGACTCAGGTTCCATTACCACCAAAGCTCAGACTGTACACTTCTTCCCTGTTAGAAGTCATAACTTACCCAGACCCTCTGAATCAGGACTGGACTATGTGTGTCTAAAGCAGTGGAAAATACCATTTTGGTAATCTTAACACAACTGAACCATGGAGGGTGAAATGAAGAAGGAAGTGATGCTGTCCTCTTCCCCTCTCCTTAGAGACCTCCTGGCTGAGGCCTCACAAGGATAAGGGCAGTCAGTCCCCCTCCCTGCCATAATTAAGATACCTCCTTTCACGGGGAGTGCCCTGAGAAATAGCAGACAGTATGGATTTGCTCTCCGTGGGGCCCAAGAATGGGAGAAGAATCAGTGAGTGGAAGCTTTATAGAGAAGGTCTAAATTTCAAAGAATGAGATACCTCCGGATCATGACAACTGTTGAACAGTGTGGAATTGTGAGGATTGCTCCATCAGTGGAGGATTTCAAGCAGAGGCTGCACAGCTGTTTGTTTGGGCTAGTCCTAGGGTTCCTGGCGGGCGGGGGGGGGAGCAGCTTGCACCAGAAAACCTCCAGGATCCCTTCCAACTCTTTCATTTTATGATTCTTTTTTATTATTATATTTATATGCCACCCCTTTCACTTATAAGGCAACTCTGCTTCTAGGATTGAGGGACATCATCTTTTAGTCTCAGTGTAGTGACAACACTTTAGCTAACTTGAAGGAAGCTTATTTTAAGGTTTTTTATGTTTAAACCTTTGATTTTTCTCAAGAGAGGTTCTTGTCATATTTTTGTTGTTTAAACTGTTTCTAATCAATAAATCAGATTGCCTTCATTTCTACCTCCAGGCCTTCAGTCCTGAGCTTCCTGTGTTGGATTCAAGCATACCAGAAGCTCCTCTCAGATTGGAAAAGGTAGGTAGTGGGTCTTCCTTGGCTCCTGGGAAGGAGGGGAGCAGTGAATTGGGAAAATGTGTGTGTGTGGAGGGGTGGCTCTTGGAGTTGAAGGTACCAGAGCGCATTTCTTTCTGATCAGCAAAGTTGCTTAGAAAGTTGGATTTGAAGAATACTTTGCCAGGTGAATGGAGTAGTAGAAAAAGAGACTAAGAGCATTGTTTCAAATGAAGAAAGTTAATGGATACAACTCTTCTCTCTCTCTCTCTCTCTCTCTCACACACACACACACACACACACATGTAAGTTTTTTTAGTTAGTATTTATACATTTTTCATAGGAACTTTCAGCAGATCACAATAATTGAACAATTTCAAAGTGGTTTACATATTTGGTATAAACTTGATTTGTGGACAATTTTAGTCAGCTTAAGAACCTGCTCAATGGAGAAAGAATAAAGGTAGGTATTGAGGGGTTGCTGAAGATTTTGGAGACATTTTTTCTCTTTCTTCTCCTTACTAGTTCTCTCTTTTTTTTTTAAGGATACCCCCCCCCCCCCAATAAGTCATAAAATAAAACTAAAGGGCAAATCCATGGCTTGATTGTCCAGTGTTAAATGGGGCTCTCAGATCTGACTTCTGCATTGGGAGTGGGGAGGGCATAAAAGATCCATCTGCCCACAGTCACTTTCTTCAGATCACGGATGAGCTGTAGGAAGGCAACTTTTGCCCTGAGAGTCTTTCCTTTCAGGCCACTGAGTTCAACAAAAAGCAACTTTAGTGTTGTATGTAAGCCACCCAGAATTGCCTCGCAGAGAGGTGAGTGGTAAATCAATCAATCAATCAATCAATCAATCAATCAATCAATCAATCTACTTCCCAAATGGCAGTTGTGCTATCAATATTGCTGGCTGAGCTTCTGAAAAGATTGGACTAGCTTTTCCAGTCTTTTCAGATTGACGAACTAATGCTTCTGTCATTCTCATTGAGGCTGAGGAATGCTAGTTCTGTCCTTCCTTTCAAGAAGTCAGAGTGAGAAACATTTAAACCCATTTTTTTTTCCTATCAGTTCTAGCCCATCCCATGGATTCACTGGTTGTGCCCCCGTCTCTTTCCCACTTTCCATAGAGCCAAACTCGTGTTGAGCTCAGGTTCCTCAGCCTCCCCTGGGATTAGAATCGACTCCTGTTCTGAGGGGATGCCCCTGAAGGCTTTGCAGAGCCAGCTAGAGGCTTGTGGGCCAATTCCTCCCCTGGCTCAGCAGGCTCTGTTCAGTTTATGTTAGGCCACTGAGGGGCCAGGAACGATTTTGCCATTAGCAGGAGTTTTGCACCAAAGAAGCCCTTTTGAAAGCAGAATGCGTTTTGTTGGAACTCTGGCTTGTTTGGGGTTTAATCTCCAATGTTTTCTGTTTATTAGGGGCATTTTCCAAGGTCTGGCTTGGCAGTTTTTTTCTGATAACACTTAGGTAGTTAAGGATTGGACTCGGGCAGATAAGCCTGGAAGCCCTTTTCTTAACCAGTTCAGCTCTAATTCTATGTTCTGCAAGATTGTTGTACTGCATGGTCAGAACAGCCTCCCTAATAAAAAGGTTCAGGTTAAACAGTTTTAAATTGTATTGTGATAGAGAGACCTCTGCCAAATCTAAATTCTTTTGTCAACTTAGAAGAAAATCCATTCATTTTTCTTTTCAAATGAGCTCCTTTTTTAGAATGGTTTGGATTCTGCAAATTGGAGTAATACTCTGGCAGCTTCCATCAGCGACCTCGACTTTGAAAGTGGTGCTCAGAAGAACTGTGTTGGATCTTTGCAGCACACAGGTCTCATAGGAGGAGATGGGAGTGGGATGTGGGGCCTTTTGCTTCCAAATGAGTGTAGAAGACTGAGGCACAGACTTCCTCTGTTTCCAGAGCTTGTGCTCTGCAAGCAGACCGTCCTGACTTCCTGGAGAGACAGTGTTGCTAGCCAAGATGGTATGTTTCGGTAGAGAGTCCCAAAATGAAATGTAAGTTGTCAGATACTTGCAGTGATCATCTTTTGTGTGATGCACATAAAAGTATAGTTTACTAGAATTATTTTTAATCTTATATCCTTAATTTACAGCACTCAGTTGTAGCAGAAATGCCAAAAGAAACATCTCTAAATATTTCTGTTGACCAGCTGTAGAACAGATGAAAAACAAACACTGAGATGTACTGTCAGCCAGGGTCCTTGTGTGAAGCAATGATGCTTTAAGTTGAGCATTACCAACTGAAGCTGGGGAAGCAAAGCGCTGGCTAGACTATTATAACCAGAGTGATGAGCTGATTAAAGGGAAGACAGGAAACACAATTAAACTGATTAGGACACAGTTGGCTCTCTTTGTGTTTTAAAAAAGGTAGCATTTAAAAAAAAATATTCTAAAAATATTTTTCTGTGCATTTGTTTCTTTTTTTAGACCGAAGACTTACCTGCAATTTTAGACACAGATGGAATAAATGATGAGGAAACCTCAGGGAAGAATGGTGAGCAGGGCAAGAAATTGGAAATTGTTTTACCAAATCAGTCTGGAGAAGCTAAGCAGGGGTGGATTCATTTGGAGGGAACATTCCTTTCAGTTCCTGTGTGGTTTACAGCATCTGTTCCATAGGAGTTGCTGTTCTCCAGATGACTTGGACATCACCTTCCATAATCTTGAGCCCATGTGGCTCAAAGGGACTAGGAATTCAGAAAGTCAGACTGCAGCCCATTTGAGAGCATGCAGTTGGGAAGAGCTGCTCCCCAAATTTGCCTGGCACACTGGCTTTCATGCACTGCAAAAGCGAACATCCCTGAGCACCTACTTTATTTTATTCTTAGCATCTTCTTATAGTTTGAGATGTTGTTTGGGTTATAAATGATAGAGTCTTTTTGTGCTTCACATTTGCAGAGTAGAGAAAGGAAGAGAGAAATCGGGCTTGTGCAACGAAAGGTTGTGACCTTCCTTTCTGAAGTGCAGTCCTATTTTTAAAGGCAATTCTGGGCCCGTCCCCCAGGCGCAGGAATCCCCCGCCAGCTCTGCTTGTGTTTCTGACCTCACAGTCCGGCTTTCACTTTCCCAGCACATGGAATCCTTTATAGAACAGAGTCCGAGGCCTCTTCTGTGGGGCTGGAAATTGAGGGGATTGGCACCAGAGGAGGGATGTTCATAGGAAATACTTTTCAAAGGCAAGATGCAGCAGTGAGATTGAAGTTGCCAGTTCAGCCTTTTGTGTTTTTGATTTCCTTACCATGCCCTGTAGACGCCCCCCCCCCCCCCCCCAGTCTTGGTGGTGGTGACAGCATCCCCTCCACCAACTTCTTATTTCTAGATTTTGGCATTCCGTTTGGGAGAGAGTCAGTGCTGAATTGGCTGTTAATTTTTTTATATGATTGCAGTCCTTGTAAATTGACTTTTGTTATTAAAAAAAAAAACCAGTACATTGAAGGAATAGCAACAGTAATGATATCCTTGTCAGTAATTGTAGTTTGTCCAGGCAAGAAGTCAGATATGGAAGGTGAAGTCTGTTTATTGCTGTTCCTATAACCAGATGGCTTCTGTTGGTTCTTCTCTAAGAGCAATAGGCAGGACCCAGCACACATGCCTGAATGACCTTGTGTTTCATCCTTGTTGCAGCTTGTCGTATGTACAGATGTAAATTTTCCAGAAATTTTGAAGCCATGAGGGAAAAAACCCATTTTTTCTGTTTTTTTCTGGAAAAAATAGAAATTCTGGAAAAATTGAAAAAAAAAGTTCAGTGTAGAGTAATTTTACAAATTGCATGAAATGCAGTGTATATAAAAGTATTATGCTTGCAATAAAACAGGTAACCATCCCCTTTCCCTCAAAAGCAACAAAAAAAGCAAGAAACTATCAACCTAAAAAATAATTGGATTTGCCCCTTAGCGCCAATAGCAAATAAAGTTAAGGTATACTTCACTATTTAAGCTCCATAGAAGGTTTACCTTTTGAATGGTGCTTTAAAAAAAAGAAACAGAAGACAACATATACATGCAGTTTATTCTATCTCATTTTCTGAACTATTGCTATCATTTTCCGTTTCTTCTTCCTCTTCCTGTTTGTCTTTTTTCTCATGGACTTCTAAAAACTTTAGGTTTGCATGGATTGAAACAAGCTTTTCTACCCTTTCACAGGTCAGTTTGTTTCTTGATTTGGTATGAATATTACCAAACATAGACCAGATTCTTTCACATGCAGCAGAAGATGCAGGAATCTGCAGTAAATGAGATGCAAGAGGTATCAGAGATTGTGTGGTGCAGAGACTTTGCCACCATGTTGCAGGAGAGATATGTTTTGCAGAATCCCAGAATGCTTTCCTGGCCCAAATCTCTGAAGATGTTCTATATTCTGCAACATTTGAAAATACTTTTCCAACATCAAGTCCTAAGTGCACAGCTTGTTTTGTAATCCAGTCAAATGCAGCAGCTGTATTCTCATCACTCACACCTTTGAATCTTGGATCCAGTAGATTTGCAGCAACATATACTGGATGGCAACAAAATTCTTTCTGTTTCTTAATAAAATCTTTCACTTTATTTTTTTCAGCAGTTGTAAGCGGAGATGCACTTAGCTTTTCAAAAACAATTTTTATCATAGTCATGTGGTTAGGAATTTCTGAAAAAAGTGCAGTGTCTGATTCAGATGCACAGATTGCTGAAAAAAATGGTGTTAAAATCTGTAGGGAGTTCTGCAGCTGAACCCAAAACACATCCTCATATAAGTGTTCCTTATATTTCTGGGAATTTTAAGATCTTCAGTTATTACTGTTGCTTGAAGAGCTTCTTTGTTTTTTAGTAAACTTTCAAAGGAGATCACCACTTTACCCCAACATGTTTTACTACAGAACTTCAGTGACACTATTTTATTTTGTGCATTTTTTTTCTTCTTGCTTCTTGAAGACTGTGGTGACAACATGAGTAGCTTTTACATATTTGATAACTTCTTTAGCTCTTCTATAGATCCTTTGAAGGGTGTCCCGTTTCATGAACTCACTAAGAAGTAGAGTTCATGAGATGCACATCCTATTGCAGTAATATGTGGATACTTGTCCATTATGATTTCATATTACTTGCATTGTCAGTCAGCAAAGCAAATACTTTACCACTCTCAATTTTCTCTAAAACTACACATATTTCATTGCTGACATACTCTGCAGTATGGCTATCCTCAGTTTCAATGCTTCTATAAAAGACTGATTGAGGTGTTGTTATCACAAAGTTCTTTATTCCTTCATTTGTCCATTCATCTGTAAGTACTGCAAGACATAGTGCTTCACTGATTTTTCTTTGTACAGATTCCATCACACACTCATATTCTGACTCCAAAAGAGCTTTGCTCAAGGAATGTCTGCTTGGCAAATGGTATGATGGTTGTAATAATTTAAAAGCTTCCTGCCCATATGCATTTTCAGTTATTGACAATGCTGATCCAGAAGCATATATTGCTCTTGCAAGAGTGTGATCAATTTTCTCCTGATTTTCAGGTGTCATTTTATCTATAAACTATTGTGTATTTTGCAACACTCCTTTACTTAGATGCTGCTGGTGAAGAAACACATGTGATGATCCAGAAGCAGCAGAAAGAGTGTTTCTGGAATTAGAACTCTGGAAGGAAAAGCTACTTGCACTTTCATTCTGGTCCTCATCATTTAATTTGATAATTTTTTAATGTCTTTAAGGTACCTGTGGCATGCAAGGATGTGTTTTGTCATCCTTGTGGTATTTGGAAAAGAATATTTCTTCTCACAATATTTGCAAATTGCAACTTTGCTCTCGGCAGAAATTGCACTGTGGAAATGTTTCCAAATGTTGGTCTCACAATTTTACTGAGAGGAGAAAAAGAAAAACAAAGTTACTGACCAGACTACAGATAAACATGCTGTGATGGTGGAGAACATTAATAGGTATCATTTAAGGGTTACCAAAGAGAAACTAATAATATCCTTATTAAATGTGGATTACAAAATTTTTGCCTCAATAATAGCAGAAAGACTGAAGAGACCAGACCAAAATGGATTTTTACCAAAGAGACAAATAAAGAACAACCTAAGAATGATTTTAGATACTTTGGAATATTACGAAATGCATCCAGGGAAACAAATAGCATTAATTTTTTTTTTAAGTTTTTATTGTTTTTCCCCCATACATTCAGTAGTATTTATTAAACAAACGTACTGTTTGAATTTACATTCGCTAATACATATTTAGTTCCTAATCTTTTATTCTTTCCTGTAGCCATCGATAAAATAAGTCCCAAGTTTGGTAATATTCTTTTTCTTTCAGTCTCATAATCAGTCTATCCATCTCTGCGCATTCTAATATTTTTTTTAATTATTTCTTCATCTGATGGTATTCCTTCATTTTTCTAATATTGTGCAAATATAATTCTTGCCGCTGTTGTAACATGCAAAATCAAATATATACTTTGTTTATCAGTCTTTTCTGGCATTATACCTAATAAAAAAAGTTCAGGTTTAAAATCTATGTGTTCTCCCAACATCTTTTCTAGCCAAGCATGTATCTTTTTCCAATAACTCTTTGCTTTGTCACATTTCCACCAAACATGGTAATAAGTGCCTGACTTGTGTTTACATTTCTAACATCTATCTGACATATTTTTAAACATTTTTGCTAATCTTGCTGGTGGCAAGTGCCATCAATAAAACATTTTATATAAATTTTCTTTGTAGGAAGTTAACATTGTCAGTTTATAATTTCTTTCCCATAAATTTTGCCATTTTTCTTATTGTATCCAAAATTTTTCACCCATCTTATCATTGTTTCTTTAATTTGTTTGCTTTCCATTTTCAAAGTTAATAAAAAGTTATACATTTTCTTAATTAGTTTTTCATCAGAAGTTAACAATATCTTGTCAAACACAGTTTGTTCCTTATAAAATCCATACAGTTTAACATCTTTATCATATCTAGTTTGCATTTGTAAATGCGCCCACCATGATAAATTGATGCCCTGATTTTCCATTTCTTGTTTAGATTTTAAATTCCCTTCAGAGTTTAGAATATCTCTATATGTCCAGATTTTTTCAAAGTCCACTAAATTTGGGTGTACAAATGCTTCCATTGTTGACAACCACCCTGGAATTTTCAAATATATTTTACATTTTATTTTTTCCCATGTTGTTAATAATGCATTTCTTATGTAGTAATTTTGGAAGTATTTATGAATTTTATTTTTCCCGTACCATAAAAAGCGTGCCACCCTAATTTTAAATCATGCCCCTCCAAATGTAACAACCTTTTGTTTCTAAGAGTTATCCATTCTTTTACCCGTGTTAATGCAGATGCTTGATAATATAAAACCCACTCTGGTAAACCAAAGCCTCAATTTTCCTTGGCATCTTGTAACATTTTCATCTTAATTCTAGCTTTCTTTCCTTGCCAATTAAATTTCAAGATTAATGAATTTAAATCATCAAAGAATTTTTTCTCAAGTTTTATAGGTATTGTTTGAAATAAAAATAAGATTT